TGGGGCCTGGATGGTGTCCCGTCCAATGGGACGGTGCCACCAGTGTGACGACCACCACACAGCAGCTCTGCACTGTCCCCAGGCCGTGGGGACACCCAGCCCGGCTGGGGTCCTCATGGCACAGCAGCGGGGTGGGGAGACCCAAAAAGCACCCCTGTTCCTCGAGCAGTGCCCCAGGGCACCACACACCCATGCGGGACCCCGTCATTTGGTGTGTGGGAGGGTGGCTGGGTCACGGGCGTGGTGTGGCACTGCTGTCCCTTCCTGTCCCAGCCTGCTCCCAGGGACCGTCCCTGGCTGATTCATGCCCTGGGCCCTAATTGCTAATTACACAAAAGTGCCGAGTTTGCTGAACTGGGTGAGGAAGGTGGTGGCACTGGCCCCACTGGGGCAGCAGCAGGGCCAGGAGGGCTGCCAGGGAAAGGGCTGGATGCTGCTGGCTCGCCTGGCACCGCTTGGAAACAGCTCCCAGGATGGGGTGGATGTGGAGGAAGGGTCCAGCAGAGCAGGCACTCAGGAAACGGGGTAATTCCACGGGAACTGGAACTTGGGAGAGCTCAGACTATGGCAGGAAACAGGCTCAGGAAAATGAACAGGCAGCAGAGACAGAAGGACTGAAGGTTCCTCCTGCACCCGTCCTCACTGGCCTCAGCCACCAGAGACAGGGTGAACAGGTCTGTCGAGGCAGCCTCCTGCAGCAAGCACTGCTCCCGCTGACTAATGCCAGGGTGGAGAAACTCCCATGTGACAGCTCACTTCCTCTAGGTCCCACCACAAACAAGGGCTGCTGCCGATGCCACGGCTCGGGCGAGGACTGAAGGTTCCTCCTGCACCCGTCCTCACTGGCCTCAGCCACCAGAGACAGGGTGAACAGGTCTGTCGAGGCAGCCTCCTGCAGCAAGCACTGCTCCCGCTGACTAATGCCAGGGTGGAGAAACTCCCATGTGACAGCTCACTTCCTCTAGGTCCCACCACAAACAAGGGCTGCTGCCGATGCCACGGCTCGGGCGGCGGCCCCGGACCCAGCACGGTGACCCCTGGAGCTGGAGCACGCTGCCCGGCAGCTCAGTCCCACACAGGAGCCATTCCAGCACCCACACTTCCCACCTCTGCTCCAGCAGGAGGGGGGCACAGGGAGCTGGGCTACACCCACGCCAAGCCCACGCCCCCGGGAGATGGGGTCTCCCTGCCTGTGGTGGGTAAATCCCAGCCCCTGTGCTGGCTGGGTTCATCTCTGCCCAAGGACCAGGCCGCAGGCAGATCGTTGTGCTGGCTCCTTTATTCAGGGGAAGGGGGAGGAGGGAGCCAGGCTTACGACCAGGTTTCAGACTGGAAGCGCTGGGACCGTTCCAGGGCTGTTAAATGCTCCTCTGCTTCAGAGGGTGACAGGCCACCCTCCAGCTCCAGCACCGACCGCAGGGCTTCGGCCACCCCCGCTGGCATCTGCTT